AATTATTTCCAATTAGACTAAGGCTATTGATTCAACAGCATTTTTTTCTCAGTGTAGTAAAAGTGTTCCCGTTCTTCTCGTTATTTAAGAAAAGATTATATAATTAAATGAAATTGCGATTAAATTATTTAGATCTAACAAATGTAGATATTTGAATATTAATTATGGAGTTAATTTTTTTTCTTTCGTATTATTGGATTTTCTTCGACTCGCTTTTATTTCTTTCGCTTGCTTAAATCATAATTCCGCGATCATGAATTTGCCGATTAGGCTCCTGGCAATTTCCTTCAGATTTAATCGCGAGAAATCGGAAATATCTTTTTTGTGCGGAAAAAACAGTTTTATTGAAGTATTTAAAAATTTGATCAGATCTGAAAATAATTTTATCGAACATTAAATTATGTAAGATATTTAATTATGTAAAAATTATATAGGATGTTTTAAATTTGCTATTGGAATCTGTAATCTTTAGATACTTCAGCAAAATTGTTCTTTCTTAAAAATCGTGTTTCTTCAAAAGACAGATTGATGATGAACAGCTCATTGCATTCGTAGGTCCGAAATGGCGTGCCCATCGCAAATTGATCGCACCGACGTTCCATTTGAATGTATTAAAGAGCTTTATCGATCTCTTCAATGCCAATTCGCGCGCTGTAGTAGAGCGAATGCGTAAAGAAGGCGATAAGGAGTTCGATTGCCATGATTATATGTCCGAATGCACCGTCGAGATCCTTCTCGAGACCGCCATGGGTGTCTCCAAGAACACGCAAGACCGAAGCGGCTTCGAATATGCCATGGCTGTTATGAAGCAAGTATTCGCATCTAATTAAGGAAAGAAAAAACATCAGGAATTCTTTTGTAACAATGCATCCTGCAATGTATCGCAAATTTTCTGATATGTAGATCTAATTTTTTTCTCAACAAACATGTCTTTTTATAAAATCATGGAATCTTTTGTTTTATCATTAGAATCATATGTTTAATTTTTTTTTAAATTAAACAAAATATTTTTTGATTTTTGAATCCTTTTTTCTTAAGATTACCGATAAACTTTCATGTTGTAATTTTTTTTATACAGTGTATCTTTTGCAAATACTCAAATATGAGTATCATTGTTTTCTAATTATCTTCTAGGATGTGCGACATCCTTCATCTGCGTCACACGAAAGTCTGGCTCAGACCCGACTGGCTGTTCAATCTCACGAAATATGGAAAGGATCAAATCCGCTTGTTGGAAATCATCCACGGGCTCACAAAGAAAGTCATAGCGCGTAAGAAGCAAGAGTACAAGAGCGGCAAGCGCAATGTCATCGATGCCTCCGGACAAAATGGCAACGCGAAAACGAACGGCAAAGTAACAATAATTACAATATTTTCGAAGAGCCAAGGAGCTAAATATTGCATTACAACATGATATTCTTCTTAGAGCACCTCTGTGGAGGGACTTTCCTTCGGACAGGCGGCCGGTCTGAAAGATGATCTCGATGTGGACGACAATGACGTTGGCGAGAAGAAGAGACAAGCTTTCCTCGATCTCTTGATGGAAGCCGGTCAGAACGGTTCTATTTTAACAGATGACGAAGTCAAAGAACAGGTCGACACCATTATGTTTGAGGTGAGTGTCATGCGGATGCAACCATGAACTTCAAGGGAATCGATTAACGAACCATTCGTTCTGCTATTCGCAGGGGCACGACACGACCGCGGCTGCGTCCAGTTTCTTCCTGTCGATAATGGGCTGTCATCCGGACATTCAGGAAAAAGTTATCCAGGAACTCGACGAAATCTTTGGCGACAGTGATAGACCAGTGAATTTCCAAGACACGCTGGAGATGAAATATCTCGAGCGATGCCTCATGGAGACTCTTCGTTTGTTCCCACCCGTGCCGATTATCGCGCGAAAAATCAACACCGACTTGAAACTCGGTTTGTTCTCTCGCAGTTATCTAATACAATTAAATATCTGTATGTAATCAAATTCGAAATCCCTTCCCTCTCTCTTATAAACTTGGAGAAATTGGCCACAAAAGATCATACGGAGAGTCGGAGATTATTTCGCGATATTTATTCCTTTCATCAAATATATATATTTATAAATATATAAACAAATTTATAAGTATTATATATTTTTTTTAATTTACCATTTATAAATATTACATTTATTGTGATGAATACAGTCGTAAAAAAGCAGCCATTATTGTTTCAGTATCGGGAGATTACACAATCCCAGCTGGGACTACGGTAGTAGTGACGACCTTCAAGATGCATCGACAGCCACACATCTATCCGAATCCGGAAGTTTTCAACCCCGATAATTTCCTACCGGAAAAGACTGCCAACCGGCATTATTACGCTTTCGTGCCGTTCTCTGCTGGACCGCGTTCGTGTGTAGGCCGCAAATACGCTATGCTCAAATTGAAGATCATTCTGTCCACAATTTTAAGGAACTTCCGCATCAAGTCGGACATCAAGGAATCTGATTTCAGACTACAGGCTGATATTATCCTCAAGCGCGCGGAAGGTTTCAAGATCAGGTTGGAACCGAGAGAACGAGCGACCGCCACGGCCTAGAAAAGCGTCCCTCCGGTTTTCGGACACATTTGTGTCGAGTAGTTGGATGGCATACAGAAATATTTCTTAAGATTTACTAAATTTTCTTTAATCCAGACAAATTTATTGTTTGGAATGATCCAATTAATTCATTGTATGAGTTAACAATTGTTTGACTTTTTAATAAATATTCTTACATAAAAGAAAACATCTTGTTGACTTAAATAACTTCATTATTAAATTCAAATAAAAAAATTTCATCATTTAATTTAACATACACACATATGCACGATGCGTTATGATTCCAATATATGTGCGCTAATAAAAATCTGATACTAAATCGTCTAAAACGTGAAACTAAAAAAAATGTCTAATAAAATTTTAAAATATAAAATGTTTTCATCATCCCAATTAACAATTGTATTATCAAAGCAATATTTAATTGACTTTCATCTTGGAGTCTCCTACTTAGGATTTCATTTGCTAGATGTAGTCCATTTCGGAGACTCAATTTGAGAAAACCATTTCACTAGAAATGCTTGAAATACTCTCATAATAAACTACATTTTTTAATTTTGTTTCACAGACTTAGAGGGACGGAGTCTAAATCGTTAAGAAGACAGTATGTGCAAGCATAAAACTTATTATAACTTGTTATAAATGTTCTATATCAACTGGACAGGAGCTAACTCGATCAGACGATATAAACTTCAGAATTTCTCCAAGTCACTGGCCGAAAAGATCCCAGATTTAAGTCTGTAATGTAGCGATGATACTTTCGTATGAATTACGTGTAACTTGAGTAAATTACAGTAAAAAGCCGTAAATGACACATGGAAAAAAAATAGCTTAAATAAATAAACAAATAATTTCCGAATTTCCTTTGACCTATACTTCTTCATCTTGTGATATTGATTCTCTTGATAAATATCAAAGCGGGCAACTTGTTTGCAGGAATCGGACTACGACATGAATAACGGAGAAACATTTCTTATTCATGCTTATTCAGACGCAACGAAGTTTGGATTCACGAAGAAACTCACGTAGGAACACTGCTGTATTGGCGAATAATTTTTTTTAAAGTAAGATGTGGCTATATACGGATCGATTAGACTTGCTCTGGTTAACTTGTAAGAGAATTAAAAATTATAAGATTATCGGGAGGAATCTTTACGAAAATAAAAATTATTCCTTGAATTCTATTCTATACATTTCCTTGAATTCTTACATCGTACAAAATATATCTAATTTTATGTACAGACATGATCAGCGATCTCATTTACGTGATATTTCTTTAAATTAGTTAACAATATAAAAGCGTGCTTGTTTTTTCTAGAAGAGGCCGGATATTGCGACTTCTCGACGATTTAGAAAAATCGTTTTATCTATATGACGAGCTTAGTTTGTGTAATAACGCTGATAAAGCATGAGCTATCGCCGGAGTCTCGAAAGGTAAGCAAAATTGTAAAGTGCAACGCATTTAACATTTCTTCGTCTTTTTACTAAGTCGAGAAATCATCGACGAGGAATATGTTCCATCTTGTACTCCAGTGCGGGACGGCCGATCTGACGGCAATAACCATGCTTTGCCAATGGAAAAATCGCAGAAGTGTTTTTTGAACTGAAAAAAAAGAAAAAAAGCTACACGCCAGTAGGGAGCAACATCCAGAAATTAAATCAAACCTTTAAAAAATTTTCCATTTTCTTATAATTCTTAAACACATTCTGACTATGTATATGTATTTCTCACATCTAAGAAATTTACATCATAAATGTCTACGACAAATGTGCTTCAGAAGATTATTGCTTCAGAAGATTCGGAGGAGCTTAGATTCGAAATTTTGAAGACATAATATTGCGGTCTATTCTTAGCGATACGAACATTATAAAATATTATTGAGATCCGACTCAATAGCTGATGCAATGTTTTGTATAAAGATATCTACAATAAATGTACCATCCTTTTTATAATAAATGGTACAATAATTACATCGTACTGATTTATCATTCTTTATTATTAAGCTAATTACACTAAGTGTAATTTGCCATTACAGTTAAAATCAAAATTCAATTACAAATTTTGGTTTTAACAATGTACATAATGATGTTGATAATTATCAAATACTTTTTTTTTACACTTCGTACAATGAGACAGAAAAGAATAATTTATTTCCATAAGGAATTGACAAAGCAAATAATATTTCTAGTAACTAAATTAATAGAAATTGTCTAAGAATGTAATAAAATTGTTATGTGTTTGTTATAAATTTTTGACAGCATAATATTAATTAACAATGTGTAATCACATCATCGATACGCATCATTATTCATCATATAATTAAATATTATGTAGTGTGAAATACAGATTGCTAAAATATAGGAAAATTTAATAATTTTAAATCTTTGTATTATTATTATTATTAATATGTATAATTATATGTAATATTTTCCACACATGGAATTTCTTGAACTTATTATTACATTATGCACAAAATATCATTTCCTAGAAAGACTATTTTATAATATATATACATATATATACAAATTTTTTTTACGATATTCATGATGATATTATCGTTTGTATTGTTGTTTTACAGTCAGAATTTTTAAATACATTCTTATAAAAATTTTACATATATATATATATATATATATATATATATACACACACTA